AGCTTCTGCTGCTATCTCGGCATACTATGCTTGCTGTGTGGTGCTGGTGCTGCCATCTACTTACAGATTTGAGAGCAGCAACAACAACAGCAGCAACACCACCACCACCAGCAGCAGCAACACCACCACCACCAGCAGCAGCAGCAGCAGCTACAGCAGCAGCAGCAGCAGCAGCAGCAGCAGCAGCACAGCAGCAGCAACACCACCACCACCAGCAGCAGCAGCAGCAGCTGCAGCAGCAGCAGCAGCAGCAGCTACAGCAGCTACAGCAGCAGCAGCAGCAACAACGGCAGCAGCAACAACGGCAGCGGCAGCAGCTGCCTCAAATTCCTAACGACTACCTTTGCTCATTAACTAACTCATCCTACTAAACCTAAACCCTAACTACCTACGCTCGGTGTAACGGCCGTGATACGTTCGCTAAGCGAAATGGTCGTTAAATCAGGTTGTGACGTCGTTAATGGCGGTTATGACGTCGTTATGACGTCGTTATGACGTCGTTATGACGTCGTTAATGTCGTGATGTTAAGGTGTCTATGGGGATGCAGTACCATAGGGTTAATTACTCACTAGGGTTGTCAGCTCGTTTGCCTAGTTTTATGTGAGAGAGAGGATGTGGTACGGGAAAGCTGGTGACAGTTGTCGTCATTGGTTCTTTTCGTTTACCAATGTTAGATTGAAGACTTAAAATATGAAGAAGCTAGAGTTTAGATTATTTTCGTCTATTGTACACTATAAAGGTGGTGGCAGAGGTTATCATTGGTTCTTTTTTTACTGTTAGAATGTTCTGTAACGGTCTTTTTATGTTAGATTGAAGACTTAAAATGAGAAGTTAATGCTTAGAATTGTTTTTGTCAATGCTATCACACTCACTATTACGCTTATTTAGTTTAATGTTTCAATTTTTTTATTAATAATTTAAATAATTTAATTACGTTAATTTAATGTTACACTTATTATATGTACTACTATAACTATATACAATGTATTAAATTACTAATTTATTTACGATAACTTTAATATCTATTTAATGAAAATCAGTTAAACGAAGCCACGCTAAGCCTGGCATAACGAGCAAAGATAGTATCGCAAGGAATTCTAGTAACTAATCCACACCTCGGCGGGCGTAGCTTCCACGGTAGGTAGTTCCAGTTATCGGCACGTTCTATTGTTTTGTGCAGGTGCGCGACAGCGACCCTGGCGACCCCTACAGGCAGTATGTCGTACAACTCGTCGACGACTTCAAGATCTCCGGAGTGAATGGCATTCGTATCCTTTACTATTATTATTATTATTATTATTATTAAATATTTATAGCATGTAATTCCGGTGTGAATGGCATTCGTATCCTTTACTAATATTATTATTATTATTATTATTATTATTATCGCGGGTGTCTGGAGCGTCCTTCGGATTTTCGAGAGATTTTCGGATCTTTTTTTACCAACGTTAGATTGAAGAATGAAAATGTGAAGAATTTAAAGTTTAGAATTTTTTTCTATTACTCTTACGCTTACTATTAACTATTTACTATTACGCTTTTAATAAAATTTCGCTGCTAATTTAACGTTTTTTATATCTATGGGCTACACTCGTGGAAACTCCTGCAAGATTGTCTGTTACGATTTGATTCGACCTTGAACGTCCTTGAAATCGAGCTCGTGTCTGTCTTCCCCGAGAGATAAAAACTTTTGCTTTGCGCAAATAGTTTGCTCATTGGTTGTTGAATTGGATGATGCGATGTGCAGAGAGATTAGGTATAGAGTATTGAGCGAAAATCTCGCTCGCGCGCGAAAAACCGCGCTTTTTCTGTCGTTGTAAACTCGAATGAGAAGCTATTGGATAAAGGTATTGCCATCAGCGTACGAGTTTTGTACGAAGTTTGCTTTTTTTCATGCCAAGCTTATATGTCTTTTTACAAGCAATGCGGAAGCAATACAGGGGATGGAGAGTTTAACTGGGCAAGAGATTCTACTAGGGAAAGGAAAAATAAATGAGGGATTTACTAGAGAAAAGATTCTACTAGGGGGAAGGAAACAGAAATGATGGATTTACTAGAGAAAAGATTCTACTAAGGGGAAGGAAATAGAAATGATGGATTTACTAGAGAAAATATTCTACTAGGGGGAAGGAAACAGAAATGAAACAGAATGGAAACAGCCAAAAGGGCTTCACATTACAGGGGGTTAGCATCGCTTAAGCCCCGTGCATGTGCGCGTGTGCGTGCGTGCGTGCGTGTGTGTGTGCGTGCATGTGCACGCGCAGGCGTGGGGTGGGGGGGGAGGCTGTGTTTACGTAGGGTGGTCAGCGGGATGCAGGGATAGCAGGGCGTGCTCTCGTCTCACGTTGCTCCCAGCATCCCTGCATTCCTGCATCCCTGCATCCCAGCATCCCTGCGCGCTCCCCGATGTCGCCATGGCTTCCCACGGACGTATTTCCTCCTAGACTCTATTTCCGTGGAGTGGACATAGTTGAGATGCACTGATTACTCTGTATGAGTAACTTTACAGTCTACACCCACTACATCCGCCCTAACCCACCCACACCCTAACAATCCCAACCCACCCATACCGCCCACATACGCTCCACCCTTCCTACACCCGCCAACCCACCCTACACCCAACCATACCCGCATCCTCCCACACCGCCCACGCTCACCTATCTCCACCCACAACCACCTGAATCCACCCCACCCCCACACTCGCCCACACTCAACCACAACCACCCCACCCAATACCCACCCCATTCATACACCCACCCCACCCCACGCCAGCCCACTCCACACACGCTTCAACCCACACACACACCCAAC